AGCGGTTTTTGCCGTTCGCCCTGCCCGACGGAGGCGGCTGCAGCGAGGCGGATGGAGAGGCCGCGGGCTGCCGTGCAGGCCTCTGATGGATCCCCCCGTTTCTCCTGATTACGCAGTGAATTGGGAAGCAGAGAAAAGGAGGGGGGAAAAAAAAATGGGGAAGAGAAAAGAGAGGAAAGGCTTTTTAGGGTTTGTTCTTTTTTTTTCCCCCCGTGTTTACTTATCAAGAGGTTGTACATTAGGAAACCAGCATACCTTCCTGCAATCAACATTTTATTTAGTCCAAAACATGAAGTCTCTACGTGCTGGAAATACAGAATTTACTGGTTCCTAACTAGAACTAGAGTAAGAGACCAGAAAAGGAGCCCTCCAGTATGAAGCTGCTCTCCAGACCCCATGTGATGGGGAGCGCAGTGTGGAAGAACCTAGTGTAATTCTTAACCAGTTTTTTTTTTTTTTTTTGCAACAAAACGTTTTCCCTCTTGTTTAAAAAAAAACAAATCTGCAAAAAACATGGGCTGGAGGAAGGAACAGAAGGAGATGAGTTTCAGCGGCACATAGAAGGCTGCCTGTTTTCTGTTACTCCTTAAAAATCAAATACAATCCTACAATCCTGAGCACCACAAACAGATAGCAAAGTGTACGATACATGCAATTAGAGCAAATATTAAAATGTAGCACATCTGGACCACAGCCCTTCACTCCAGCAAGCTAAATAAACTGTTACATCTGGGCTACTGGATGTCACTGAAGCAAGGAAAAAATGTGAAGAGGCTGTTGGAATGTGAACCTAAGGAAAGGGGGAGACTGAGGGGAAGGGTGAAAAGGAGGAATGCACAGATTTTCCCCTGGTTAATTAAAATTTCTGTTATCTTTAGCCAGGCAGCTCCCGCCACGCCACCTGACACACGATAAATGTAAGCATTACAAGCGTGCTGGCGGTCAGTCCCCAGAAAATTCCTCACTGGCCACTTGCCCACCATTTGCATGGCGACAAATTACTTATCTAGTCAAAACAGAGGAAGGCTTCTGCCAATTTGCCGTTCCTGCCCTCTGATTGCTATTGCTGCAAAAGGGGCCAGAGGGAGGATCCTGCGTTTTGATCCAAACCCCATTAGGATCTAGAGAAAGGGCTGAAACAGGAGGGAAGACAGGGCGCGGGACACAAAGAAAGCAGGCGGGTGTGAGCACACGGACACACACATGGAGGCAATTTAACAGCTTGGTGCTCATGAAGCAGGGAAGTCCCTCTCCTCCTCTCTGCATCCTGCTGCTCTTGCCTTGTGCCAGCTCTGGCACTGCCCAAACCCTTCCCGGAGCTGATTTAATTCACTACTGCAGATACGGGAGTTCACTATCTCTTTTTAACCTAGAAAAATGAGCTCACGCAGGGGTGTGACAAGCTCCAGGGCCTGTGGGACAGCACAGGTAGGAACACGGGAAGTGACGACAGGAGCGAGACCTCCCGTTTTCAGTGGCAGTAAGCTGTTACGTTTGCTCAGCTGACGATAGATCTGCATCAGGTGTGGTTTGGCAGACAGACGGATAAAAAACAGCCTCTATCAACTGAAAGACTTGATCAAAGGGTTTGTTTTTTCCTTCAGTGACTGCTAACAGTGGATAATTATTCCAGTCATTCCAAAACTGACTGGACTTTCCTTTCTGTAAGGACAGAAATGACCAAACTTGATTTTACTACTAATATTCATATCATATTTCTACAGCTGACATTGAGACTGAATAGTTAAGCAGATGCTGCTAGGGGAAAAATTTAAGCCACAGAATTTCTAAGATGTTGATGCTTTCAGTCAAAATTCCCATGGAAAAACTAAGTGTTAGACTCACCAGAGCTCTCCATAAGTGAATTGAGGCTTTTAGAGATCAGTTCTTCACATTTAATAATCTGATCTATTTTCCCAGCAAAAGTGTCAGGCAGCAATAAAGTAACACACTAGTATATCGAATGAAATCTTGGTGCCTTTCAAATTTGTCACAAACATATGCCATGCAATTCAGGAGGGCAAGACTATGTCCCACTCTGCTACATAAAAGAATAACGTATTTTGCATGTACAGGTGATAACACTCAAAAACTATAGCAAGCATACCATGTTACTTACAGTCTGAGTCCACTGCAGGAGAGGGAAAAGAAGTCATAAACCAAGCACACACCAAACACCGTGACTCCAGTTTCTTTCACCAGCATTGCACACGTCCCAAGAAATAAACTAAGCAGCAAAAAGAATGGGGAGGCAGTGGGAGGGAAATGTTCCCCTACATAAAGCTGATCCACGCTCCTGAAAAACAGATTTGATATAAATATTTCAATTCCTCTATTAATTTCATCTTTACTGCATTCACACAAACATTGAGGCACTTTTCCTCAATTTCTCAAGATTATGGTAATAAGTGACATGGATAATCTACACTGTTTGCTGATAAACGAAGAAAGGTTTAGGCACTAGGACATTAAGAGAAGACATAAAAATTAACAGCAATGCAATAAGAATTTGAGCAGAGAAAGAAAAAAAGACAAGCAAGGAAGAAGAAGGTAGAATAAGTAGAAAGACAGAAGGAGCAGAAAAACACCTGCTTTCCATCATACAGAACACACATGCTTAGTTTTCCTTAAGCGACAAAATGCACCATACAGGTAAAAACGCCTCCATTCCACCCACGCTTGTCTTGGTCAAAGATGAGTCCTAATCATTACAAAACTGGCCTCTAAACCCGTACGAGAAGGAAGAAGTGAAGAAAGAAATCAAAGCCAAACAGAAACAAACTAGCCAGCCCCTACAGGGGTGACAACCAATTTTCCTCCTTTGAAACCTTCTGACAAACACAGTGTTATAGATTTGTAGCAGACACCCCAGGAGGAACATAAGCATTTTTTTTCCATGTGACTATGATGGCACTATGCCGCTCCTAAATGAGATAACAATACGAAAGGGACTGAAACCCCCTCTGCGACATTAAAGCTATTTCTTATTTATACTTTTTCAGTTACAGTTTTAGGACACAGACCACCAGCAAAGAATGCTGGTTTTGAACTGAAAAGGACCCCTAAGTGTCTAGACATAGCCCTCCACTCTCAAAGATGGGATATTTCAGAGTCCCGCAGTCGCACCATGTATTTTGAAAGCAGACAAGTTACCGTTCTTCACTCTGCACACAGACGATTTGCCGTCAGTTGAAACATTTCTTGATAATTTTAGGCCCAGCTTTACAGACACTTGTCTGGTGTACAGTCAATTGAAAATATCAGTGGAGGAGGATATCTCAAGCATTGAGTTCTCTTTTTATGTTTACTCATTTTTATAAGCATTACTTATCTGGCACTGAATTGGAAGCAGGGACCAGAGCGCTTTGGCGCGCTACAGTGCTGGGAGAAGCAACTCTGCCAACATTCACCAAAACTGACAGATTTCCTTTTTGTCTCCTCAACAAACTAGAGCATCTCATCATATTATAAAAACTGATATCAAAGATCCATACCTATTATAGGAGAGAAAAGCCAACAGAAAGAGTAGACAGGCTAAGACATCCGCTCTGCCTACAATACCTGTTACCTAAGAGGAAAAGAGACACACAGATGTAAAAGCAGGTATTCAAAAAGGCAGGTATCTTCAGTGTCTGTTTCAACGATTCATGCTAACTGCTATTATCAAGGGTTTTGTTTTTTTTTTTTAAACTGTAAGAATTTTTTTTTTAATCTTTTTTATCCTCCCTCATCACATCGAAACATTATTAGGCTAGTGTAGGATATACTCAGTTTTGTCTGCTGCATTTCCCCCTTGGCGAAACAAACGAGTAACCCAACAATTAAGGCATTCTTTAAGTTATTTTTTAAATATTAATAAAATTGCATAGAACAATTCCATTTTGAGGGGATCTGTTTTAATTTTATGTAATAAGGACCAAATGAGATGCATACAAACTTCCAGAATGGAGATTTGTTAAAAACTAATGAAAGAACAAGTCTTTGGAGTAGACTTATTGTATAGGAATGACTTAATAATTACTGTTTGAAAAAACTTTATCATCAAAAAGTAATAGAGTGACATGTAACTTATTGTCTTTCCAAATTATCTATTTTAGGAGAGTTTTTCTTGATACTAATTGATGAACTCTTTTACGTAAGAAATAGGATACTGAAGAAGAAAGTATAAACATTCTTGTTACAAAATATTTCAATATTCCGTTTCATACAGATCTAAAAGTTGTACATAAAGCAAACAAAAGGACCTTTGAAATTTTGCCTCTTTTGAGATTTCACAATTAAGCTATCTTCAGCGCTCTGGCATTTGCTTTAACCTTTTTAAGTTCTGACCCAGACAAAAATAAAGAGTGCCTCTTCTAAAACCTCCCTTATATTAAAAAGCTGTTTTATCAAAAGGAGCCCAGCTGATTAGTTCACACGAGACAGCGCAGGGAGTAACTGTAAAGCTCACGGCTTTTCGTTATTAAGGTAATCTCGCCTAAAAAGTTCTCAGCCATGGGGGTCATTTCACTCACTAACTTACAAAGGCTTGTAACAAGACACTATGATGTCAGTAGTATCTTAGGTAAAAAAAGCATTTCTTTTTAACATATGGATAGCTAGACATCACATTTCCTTTTCAAAGTCTCTTTTTATCCACAAAAGTAACTCTCAAAACTAACAGAATGTAGCTTTAGAATGACTATGTCTTTAAATGTTTTCTTATAGTGTAAAGAAAAGAGCCCAATACGAGCTGTTACACTGTAAACTTACCATGATGTTTTTCTATTAAACTAAAGACTTTTTCCGAGAATGATATTCCTAACTTTTAATCAAGAGCCATATAAATTAATCCATGGGCCATATCACATCTATCTATCTTAAGTGATTTTGTCCACAATACAGGCTATTGCTCCCTTCACTTTTTCTCCCTTAAATCGAGGATGATGGAGAAAGACTCAA